CCAAAACAAACCAGAGATAACTGTTTAAAATTTATTTTAATTCTATAAAGGTAAGTTTTGATTAATGTATTTTACAGTTACGTGATTATGTATAAAAACCTTTTAATGTGGGGTATGAAAATTCTTATGATTGTTTTTGAAGGTATTTTCAACTGATCCAGGGAACTTCAGGAAACTAGATGATTTGATAAGAACTGAAACTAAAGGAAAAGGTCAACTCGTGGTAGTGAGTTTAAAGGAGATGCAGGAAGGAGATGAATTACTGGAGTAATCCATCCTGAGACTTTTCATGTACAAATCATCCTCAAAACCACTTGTTAAAGAGATAAAAAGTATTTATTGGAAAATAATTCTGTCAAGCTTCTTCAATAAAGATTGAGATACAAATTCTGAAAATTTTGTTTACTTAGACTCGCACGCACGTCAGTCTCGAAAGTTCACTACATCTGCTAGATTACTGTTGAATTGCTCATAATAAAACTACTATTATTGATGTTGTGAAAGTTTTTTAGCTGGCAACTTATGGTACCTCGTAAAATAATTTAGTTTTTACCCATATAACTTATCTGCTGTGCTTTATAATTAGTCAAACTTTTATTTAAATATAACTTAAGGCATGATAATGCTAGTTATGTATAAAATATCATTAAATTTAAAGAAAACACATCAAATTTTTGGGCTCCACACTATAGCTTAGAAAAATTTGGAAATTGTATTTCTGAAAGTTTAATAAAACTGGCAGAATCTATTCACTAAATTGAGGCAATGCTCTGTTGTTAGTAACAAAGCTAACAACATTTTAGGAAGTATTTAAACATTGATTATCAAGAGTGGTAATTATCTGCCTGTACAAATCACCAGTTAGACATTACTTGGAATAATGTGTACAGTTTTGGTTTCCTTATCTAAGAAAGGATATTGACTTACTGGACAGGGTTTGGAGAAAAGCTACCAGGATGTTTTTTGGGATGAAAAGATTATCTTACAGGAATAGGTTAAGATTTCTTAACTTGTTTTCCCTAGAGAAAAGAAGTGTAAGAAGGGATCTTACCAAAGCTTACAAAAATTACACAGGAGCTTCATGGGATTTATGTCTCTGATTTCTTTGTGCTATATTCTAAAGGTAATAGGATGGCAAGACACAAGATTAAAATTTGGAAAAGATAGGCTAAGGACTAATTAAAACACTTATTTTTTCAACATTGGTGATTGGCTTACAGAATGAATTGGTATCAGTGTAGTGGAGGTTGGTACTTTGGAAGAATTTAAGAAGAAAATCACTTACAAAGGAACAAATTGTCTCTTGTTCTCCATATGTTAAGTTAAAGTGACCATAACTTTATAAAATAAATAAAGACATCTGATGTAGTGGTTTTTTTTAAACAAAGTTTAAGATCACAGAAGTTTTCAATTTTCATGGGAAATGAAATGTAAGGGAACAAAAATGAGATTTCTACCCATTGTTTAAACTAGATGAATTATGTACTGGTGGGTTAAAAATGCTCATAATAACTAATTTACTTTTTGTACATTTTTATATTAGATTATTGTTAAAGCTAAGTCATTTGTGTAATCAGATGTCATATTTAAAAGTGCAATAACAATGGAGAAATTGTAATATTAAGGTTCTAAAAATAATATATCTTGGGTTCATAGGTTTGAGAGTGTGCTGGATACTAAATTAGATTATTGGAGACCCGAAGACAAAACGGGAATTTTTTATATTTTTTTCATCTCCAAATTTTTTAATATTGGTAAAAAAATACAATATCTAAAAAGTGCTGGTTGCTGTGGAGTGGGAGTGTTTGATTCAATTATTAATTTACATTTTATTTATTAAGTTTGCTTTCTATTTGTTTATTGATTATTAATATGAATTTCTGAGTAAAAGTAACGATGTGTGTATAATAATATGTCAACCATACTATATCTGTCATATCCAGTGCCGATGAGGCCTTTCATCCAATAGTAGGACTCTATAGACTGGCTGGAATATGGCAGACACATTGATGGTACTGAAATACTATTTATATTAGCAAATAATATCTTACTACTTTAAAAAATACACATTTTTTATGATGCAACTTTTCATCTACTGTTTCAACTTACATAAATAGATTCTTGGAGTGCAAAGTATTTATTTGCTGGTTTATCAAAATGCTTGAATGTTTCCTAAGGAATTATTTGCAGAAAATATAATTGAATTATCAATTTTTGGTGTATATGTTTAATGGGCTATTAAAACTTCCTGAAGTACTGCCTAAGAGAGCAGTTTATGAAGAATATAAAGCAGAGAATCCTACAAATGTAAATCCATTATATAGTGTTTACTATGGACTTCTCATGTCATTGTTTTGATTTTGGGCTGCATGCTGAGTGAAGAACTGATGAATGAATCAGCACGAAGCATCAGATGTCTTAAAGTCAAGAAAAACAGTCGGAAATTTTCACTGTAAATTCTCTACACATGTTGAACACACTGCCTAAATGCACATTAAAAAAAGATGCCTGGAACTTTTATGGACCATCCTTACTCCAAGTTTTTAACCAGTATAACAAATACCTTAGTATTCTAGCCAGATTCAACAACTGCTTAACTTTACTGTTAAGATGTTTATACCTAAGGATCATTTCTAATAATTTGATGTGGAAATTCCAACTCCGTTTATGTCTACACTGTTAACAAAATTCAAGACACTTCTCACAAGATTTTTAACTACCATGATAGAAGAAGAAAGAGGAGGGTTCTACAAATGATCATAGACCTTCCAAACAACCAACACTTTAATCTCCTAAGGTCTTTACTTATTTTCAAAAAAATAGCTATGGCCATCTTTTTTAAAACAGTAAAACCAAACAAGGTGAGGGCCATTGAATTACAAGAAAGAAAAAAAAAAGCTAAATTAATGAGAATTAAAAGACTTTTGTAACGAATCTTTTCTGTGGGTAGCTCAATGAAACTGAGAAATGTATCCCTTTTTCTAGGACTTGACCCTGTCTCAAACATTCATGAGACACTTACACTCCATATTATAGGTTCCACAGAAATGGCTACATAGCTTCTACTGAATGGAGCTAAAGAATTACAAACTCCTTGCCTGTTTTACTTTAAGACAACATTAGACTCGACTATGGAACTGCTGATGATGGATATGACTCAGATTAAACTCAATCATTAGCAACTAAGATAGTCATTTTTTCGAGACACCAATGACTGAAAGGAAATACATTTCTTGCTTTGTTAGCATTGTGTGGTATTGTAAGGTACAATGTATGCACTACTTGGTGTGATTATGATGAAGTAAGAATGGCTACTACCAGTTGACATAATGCCTAGTGAATCACCATTTTGTACAACTGGAGATGATAGCTAGGCATTAAAAGAACTCAGCCAAAAGAGCATGGCAACCCTCACTTCCTGAGCTGTCAAGTGGTAGTTTAAAGTATATAGTGTATGCACTGCATTATATTATCACTACTCGTAGTTGAACAGTTTGTTGATTGCAAGATTAATGGGAAAGAAAAGGCTTTACGACCCTTACTTTCCGAGCTATCAAGCAAGAAATATCCATAAGCTATTAGATGATAGCTATTTCATTAACATCATTTATAATAGTTGGTGCCAATAAATGTAATACTTAGTGCATTAACAGTTTGCAAAACTGAAAATGATAATTAAGAATTTGAAAACTTAGTTGAAAGTGCTTTGTAACTCTTTCTTGCTGAGCTAATGAACGATTTTTTTATTGCGAAATGATGTTAACATTTCATTAGTACCGTTCACCTGGTCTAGCTGAGTGGCAAGAGTTCTGTGGAAAATACACCATAATTATCCTAGTTAGATCTTTTCCAGTACACCTAAAAGATGTATAACTTATCTTCATGTAATAAGGGAATTGTGTTTCATCAGAGTATGTGTTGTTATATATTATAGTAACAGCACGGATATTAATCCCAACTTACAAGAATTTTAACTGAAAAGACTTACTTTAGCTGAATTCTGTTACTAATGTTAGTGATTATTTAATTCATGATTCCTGAAAAGAGAAATGTGTGAAGTTTGATAGCTCGTAGATGGCAACACTTCATGGTTGATTCATGTTCCCTTTTTCCCCCTTTTTGTTTTTGGTAAGTAGATAGCATGTTTCATGATTAATGAAGAAACGTTAAATCTGTGTTCATACTTTTCAAAACAAACTTGGAATTAGCAAGTGAGCCATTCTCTATTTGTTCTTCGAAATCACACACACAACTGAAAGAATGATGAACATTAATTTGTTTAGGCTGTTGCTTTGTAACAAAGACTATTTTATATTGCAAAAGTACTAAGGCCATCTGCTATCATCATTAATTTTGAACTACTGATCTGCGGAAAGGCAGTTACTCAACAGCATCTATTATATATGGTAAGGGGTTGACTATCACTTTAATAAGGTTCGTATCCCCGTCCCACCAAACATG